TAAATTCTGTATTTGAAGGTGATAAAGGACTTCAAAAAAAAAGAATGTAGAGGAGGGTAAAAAGGAGTGGTTGGGGAGGATGAGGAAGCCATGTGGATACCTGAGGAAAACGCATTCCAGCAGAAAAGGGAGAGCACCAATATAAAGGCCCTACCAGCAAAAGCATGCCTGGCACATACAAGAAACAGCAGGACCAGAATGGAGCATAGAGAACAAGGGGAGAATACTAGGAAACTGGGGGGAAAGGGATGAATAGTTTAGGCCCAGGGGGTCACTGGCTTTCACTCTGAGTGCAATGGTATAGCATCAGAGGAGTGACATAATCTGACTTATGTTTTAGAAGGAACACTCTGCCTGCTGTATTGACTAGACAGGAGAACAAAGTAAGAATACCCCTATTCCCAAGGGGTGCCTGGGAAACAGACTCCTAAGAACTATCAGCCTCCTCAGCTACCCCTACAGCCCTATTGGCTATATTGCACCCCAGCTCCTCACTGCTTCAAGATGCAAAATAAATTTGCTGTGACCTTTTATGCAACCTTTAAATCTCAGACACCAACAAAGACAGAAGGCCATGTAAAGAAGCATCAGCCGCTCTCTAGGAGAAGCAGACTGTAGACCTTCACAAATGGAAGCTAAAGGAATGAAAGAAATCATTTTCACTAGCAAAGACTGCTTCTGTCTTGGATCTAAGGTACATATGGTAAGCCTTGCAAAGTTAATGCTCATGAAAACTGTCTTTTTACTTTTTACAATTCACAAACCAATTAAAGATACTACTAAGAAATTCTCATTAGCTATTCCATAAAGTACCAGTAGTCTCCCACAAACAACCAGGAACTCTTCACAAGTTATTATCGATTTTAACTAGTGGCCATCTTCCTTTTTGCTGCTAAGATCTAAACGGCTGCCAACGAGTATGCAATGCTAAGGTTTGGCCTCTGCTGCCCCCTAGTGGAATCACAATCTGCTCCCCACATTACACAATTTCTGACAGTCACAAAATGTAGCCAGGCAAATAAGGCTAAATTAGAACATCGCTGAAAATTATTCTGCCTTCCACTGTTCTGGGGAAAAAAATCTATATATAAATGTCCATCTTTTACCCACAACCCTCCCCACCCTCCCCAAATAAAAAGTTTTTAAAATTGAGAATATTTGATGTCTATTTTCCATTCCCAAATATTTTCTATTTTCAACTGGACATTTTTATAAAAACTGAAGAACTTGGTTTCGTACCAAAAAAACCATATGCCCTAAAGAGAACTGCTTTTTAAAGTGGTAGAATGTATCACAGGATATAGCATTATAAAACTATCTTCATATAGCTGGCCTCACTCATCTCTAAAGGAGATCATTTTGTTCAAAGGGGTGTGATGGTTAGGGAAAATACTAGGAGATTTCTCAACTGCTATAGATCAAAAGATATTTAAAAAGGTAAAATTAATACAGAATTAGGTATTTCAAGGCAAAAGTACCCAAATCACTTTTTTAGCCAAAATACAAAAAGAAAAAGAAAACAGCGATTTTGCTAATGAATTTGTTTTTCTATATTCATTCATTATACTTCAATCCCAAAAGCAAACACTATCTGGCACCTTGGTTTTAATTACAGCCAAATACACAGGATTTTAATTAGATTCAAATTTTAATTTAGCCTTTATTCAATTCAACTATTCAGTCTCATGGCCCACAAAACTTTCCAATTATCTCTAAGCCCATCACTGGCAACTTATAAACTGCCAGAAAAAAAAAGCATTATATATGCTAAACCTTTCTACTAACTACACATCTAAAAAAGTCAAGTCAAAATATTTTTAATTGATTACAAAAGGTCAGACAGACTTGTGCTTTAAAAGTTAATGACCATATTAAAAATTACATTAAAACATGTGTCTGAAGAGATTGATTAGTGTTCTCTCCCTTCAGACACAATAATGTGATGTTGTTCTAACTCCTCTTCGTCTCCACAGTCATTAAGGCCCAATTTAATGTTCACCACGGCATGTTCAACTACATAAAATTTTCAACCACTTCTCCAGGAACTAAGAACCTTGAAATACTTCCCCTTCTAGAACCTTTTCCTGGTTTATATAGAGATGTCCAGTAATCTTCATACACAAAGAATAATTTTACTGCTAAACGGAGCCTACTTAGGAATCAGTCTGCCCTGTCCCCATCAATACCACTGGCACATCTAAAAAGTATGTAATACATATCAAAATAATCACATTAAAGAATACATTAAAGATATTGAAAAGGAAAAGAAAGAATAAAAAGCGCCTACACCCCTGGCTCAAGGTGCTTGTGAGATACCATATCCAACCTTGCCTATCCAGAGGCCCACAGGACCACAGAATGCAGATGTGTGCACAGGTATATGTACAAATTTACACAACTACACATTTATTGAGAATGACACAGTGGAGAAGGTCATTCCACCAACCACCAATGACTTCCCAAAATACCTCACTATGAATGACAATCAAAACATGTACTCGTTGGGTGCAGTGGCTCACGCCTGTAATCCCAGCACTTTGGGAGGCTGAGACAGGCAGATCACTTGAGGTCAGGAATCCGAGAACAACCTAGCCAACACGGTGAAACCCTATCTCTACTAAAAATTAGCACATGCCTATAGTCCCAGCTACTCGGGAGGGTGTGGCAGGAGAATCACTTGAACCCAGGAAGTGCAGGTTGCAGTGAGCCGAGATTGTGCCATTGCACTCCAGCCTGGGTGACAGAGCAAGACTCCATGTCAAACACAAACAAACAAACCATGTACTCAACACATTAAAGACCAATGAGGCACCATCTATCCCTGCATAAAATGGAGAAGAGAACAGGCAACTATTCTACCCATGTCCCATTTTACTTAGTTCTTCTAAAAACAAGGTTGTCTGAATGTACAAGGACATCATATACCAAATCCAATCCTAACTGTATTGCTTGTTTAAAACTACACCATCGATTGCAATTAAAAGACTTATTTTTGAACCCAGTAATACATAAATCCTATTTTTAAATAGTCTTTCACTATTACACTGTTCTCTCCCTGCTACCATGCTGGTCAAAAGAAGCACATTTAACTTGAGCGCATTTTTATTATGAACCATGTTTACAGATGGCCCACAGGGCAAACATGAATCAATCAAAAAAACTTAGACACTCAAACATGCAAACATCTTATGAAACTTAGAAAACAGAATTTTAAAAAGCTCTATTTCTTGCTAAGTTATAAAAGGACATAAAAACCTTCACTTCAGCTGAAACAAAAAGTGACCACATTAAAAAAATTATGTTTTTTTTTTTTCAAAGCTACCCAAAAAATAGAAATGCATAGCAATCTAAAAGAACTAAACTCCAATGGAACCTCCTAGATAAGCAAGGGATAGGGTACACTTTCATACTTCGGGCCACTTGCTCAAGTGGGCACAGGACAGGTGGCAAAGCTGCCTGCCAGACAGCACAGTCTGTGCTCGGGCCTAAAGATCCTGCCAACCCTGGGAAAGTTTGGAAGAAGAGTCTGTGGCTTCATGTTGGAAGCAACTGCTGGTCCAGTTAGACCAATACTGGAATCCATGATAAATACCCAATCATCCAGTTTTGATGAGAAAGAAAACAGAACAAAAATGTAAAACTAAAGAAATAATCCATCTATGGCTGACCATAATTAATCATATCCTCAAGATCACAATAAGGTAATTTCCAGTTCTTAACCACTACAAATATCATGAGACACATATATATTGAAACTTTATTCATCTCTCTATTTTCTTAAGATCCATTTCCAGATGTGGAATTACTGAGACAAAAAGAAGAACTGTAAGGTGGTTAATAAGTATTACCATATGCTATCCAGAAAATGTTAACCACTTACAATTCTACCATGCACGTGTATCTCCCAGCTTCACTGCTACAGCGTAGTAGCAATGACATTTGTGCAATCCTTTTTGATTCATTCAGATGTCTTTCTGTGCCATTTAATTCCAAATGACTGACTTTACCATGTTCTTTTCTAGGCAGTTCCTCATACCTCTTGAGTAAATATAGGATGCTTTTGGGGGAAAGTGGGGCATATAGGAAGAAGGAGAGATAGGGAGTGGTCTTCAGCAATGCCTCTCTTTCCTGAGCTAGGAAGAAAGGAAAAAGAGAAATCTATGATTCCAAACCACTTAGCCTCTTGATAGAGCCTCCACTCTAGAAGGTAAAAGCACAAGATCTAGACTAGATGAGCCAGACTGTCTGGTTCCAAATCCTGGCTCTGTGGACCGTTGAACAAATTGTTTAACTGCTCAAAGATTCAGTTTCCTCATCTGAAAACAGGTATTTAATAATACAGTAAGTAGTCCCCCTTCATCTGTGGTTTCGCTTTTGGTGGTATCAGTTACCCCCAGGCAACCAAGGCCCAAAAATATTAAATTAGAAAATTCCAGAAATAAACAATCTATAAGTTTTAAATTGCTCACACTTCTGGGTAGCCTGATAAAATGGCACACCATCCCACTGTGTCCTGCCCAGGATGGGAATCATTCCTTTGTCCAGCATATCAACGCTCTAGACCCCACCCACTCGTTAGTTACTTGGCTGTCTCAGTTACTAGATTGAAAAAACATAGCATATGGGTTTGGTACTGAGATTTCAGGCATCCACTGGGACCATGGAACATCACCCCTGACGATAAGTGAGAACTATTACATCCTACACCTGACAGGTCATTGGGATCCAATGAGATGACTTCAGTGAGCAGTTCTGGTGAAAAGTAAAGTGAGGGAAAGTTAAAACAAACTAAAATAAGATTCTGATGGATTTTTTGCAGCACTAATCAAATCTCAGCCATAATGATTTACAACAGCTGTCAAGTTGCCATCACCTCTCACCACGAAATGCCAAACCGCACTCACTCACCTGAATTCCCTTCTTCTTTGTTTATCCAGCTCGGAAAGCCTGCTTTGTCATTTAGATAGCAGCAAAAGAAAGTGAGTGAGTCATACACCTACCTGGCGGTTCTGCCTGCTCTGTGAATATATGTGTTGGCATCCTCAGGACAATCAAACTGAAGAACCCAATTCACGGCTGGGAAATCTATAGAGAAGGAATGTGAGGTTAAGAAACTGGCTGTAAGATCTGCCGTGCTGCACTGTTTTTATTTTACGATACGGCCTGCCAGTACTTTTCACCACAATAAACGGATAGATATCATCTTTGAACTCTATTAAAAATAAAATCAGCTGCATGAACCAAGAAATAAACATTTCTCTTGAAAAAATGAACTAAAATTAATGACTGTTTGAATATGAAGATTACTTCATATTTGACACAGAAGAGATGGATTGCTTTGTGTCAGAGTGAAATACCCTAGTATTTAACAACCTGAAAGCACCACTTCTCATGGGGTCCTAGTGAACTACAGAACTGCTTTCTAAATTTAAGTGAAGCTTCTTTCCTTTTCCTACTGTCCCCAGCTGCATTCAAATTAAAGCTTTCTTCCTAGGTCCTTCCTCCTATTTCCTAGCAACAACTACTCCACGTGTATTTTCTGGCTATAGCAGTTTTCATTTATTTCCAGAAAATCCTGGTCGCAACTTCTTAAGAGAACTACCTCAGTCATTTATAGATTTTGCTTCAAGGATTTCAGATCAACTCCTATCAGAGAAAAGGGCTGAGCACCAAAAATAGAAAAGATATAGGAAGATAATGATACTTAAGAGCATCAAACTGTCACTAAGTCACACAGTCTATTCAAAAAGGTAAAGGTTAGTACAAGGAGGAAGAACCAAAAGAAGCAGAACAGAGATATTCTCTCAGGTAGCTGAGAAAGCAAGGGCATATGGCAGGGCTCCGTGAAGAGGAAGATGGGTTGAAATCAACATGTCGAACCTCAGGTCCCCTCTCTCATCCTGGACAGTTGCATCTCCTGAAGGGAACCAAGAGTCTTATCTAGAGAAAGGCTTCAGACCGCAGACACCAGATACAGTGGAATGCAGGGGCACCAGAGCCAGAATGAGAACAGGAGTGCTGAGGAAGTCTGCATGCTACCTGGGAGGTCTGGGTGCTGACTTCCTCACTACACTTCCAGAGCCAGTGGCAAGCTTAGTTCTCAAGAGATTGAGACTGTCTTTTCAGGAGAGATTCAGCGTTCAAAGAGAATAGACACGGACATTTTGAATCCACCCCAAAATGATCAACTGTCCAAATCATCTCACAATGACGGCCGTTAGTCAACAAGCCTCATCCATGTACCAATCACTTCAATTAGCTTTTAGTGCCTCATGGTTAAATATAAAAAGGCATCCAGGTGCAGACAATGGAGAAAAGCCTCAAATAAGAAAGAAAAGAAACAAACCGATGTGGAGAACAGAATATAAAAACTTAATGTCTTCAAAGAGAAAACACTGTATCTGGCCAGGTGCGGTAGCTCACATCTGTAATCCCAGCACTTCAGGAGGCTGAGGTGGGTGGGCTGCTTGAGGTCAGGAGTTCGAGACCAGCCTGGCCAACATGGCAAAACTCCATCTCTACTGCTAATACAAAAACTAGCTGGGCGTGGTAGTGGGCACCTATAATCCCAGCTACTCAGAGGCTGAGACATGAGAATTGCTTGAACCTGGGAAGCAGAGGTTGCAGTGGGCTAAGATCGCATCACTGTACTCCAGCCTGGGCAAAGAGTGAAACTGTGTCGCAAAAAAACAGAAAAAAGAAAACACTGCATCCATCAAACAATAAAAGGGTGTAAAGGTGTTCTTAACAGTTAAAAATTAATATTTTTATAGAAAACTTGGATTATAAAATCAAAGAAATCTTCCTGAAAGAACAAGGAAGACACAGATGAGCAATAGTAAAAGCAGAACAGGAAAATTAGAAGAGCAAAGAGGTCAAACATTCTTCCAGAAGGAGTAAACAAGTGGGGGGAAAGGAAGAAATTTTACAGTAAGACAGTTATTAGCACAAAGAGAATCACAAGTATAAGAAACGATCTAAGTACACTAATTCCCTCAGCAGCAATTACAGTCAAAATAACATAAATAACGTTTATTTAACCAAAACACCAAGAAGCAATTTAAGGGTAAATTTCCTGCAACCAAGACACACATAAGTCTCTATTCTATGCCACTCAATATGATAGCTATTCATGTTTAATTAAAATTAAATGAAATTTAAAACTCATCCCTTCCCCAGTTCCACTAGCCACATTTTAAGAGTTCAATCGCCACATGGGGCTACTGGCTATAGTATTAGACAGTGTAGACGTGAAATATTTTAATGCTAGAAAATTACGATCAACAGTACTGGTCTGCACTGAAAAAGGACATACACTAAAGGCCCGCACAACCAGTAAGACCTCACAATAAGTTACATTATTGTCAAATGTTACCACACTAGATAAACAGTGAATCCCAAGAATATCCAGAAAGAGAAAGAAAGGTCACAAGAAAGGAATCAGAAACGCGAGCATCACATCTTCTCAACAGAATACCGGCTACTGGGAGACAATGGAAAACATCTGCAAGATTCTGAGAGAAAATCATTTCAACCTGGAATTCTAATCCCAATCCTAGACCATTATCAAATCTGCAAGAACTCAAAAATTTACCTCCCATATACCCTTTCTTAGAAGCTATTAGAGAATGAGCTTTAAGTTGAAAAAGTAAAATTAAAAAATAGTAGCAGCAGTAAGCCAAGAAAGTGGAAGACACATCTGGAAAGCAAAGTCCCAAGAGAAGCACGGTCAGGCGTACGGGAGCAACTAGGCCGGGTCAGAGCTAGAGGCAAATGGCTGCAAGACGGAGGTCCCAACGAGAAGAGAAAGAGAGCTGTGAATTGCTAGAGAACGAGGCACAGGACACCTGCTAGAATGCTGGAGAAGTCAGAACTGGAAGCACAAAACTAAGCAAATTTTATAACAATTAACTATTTACCTGAAAAAAACACAAAAGTAAGTGCAAGTCAGCTGACAGTCTCAGCATGCTACCTCCCTTGGCAACAACGAATCATAATCAAAACAACGTAAATATGAAATGTTTATTTAACAGTAAGTCACGATATGACCACACGGGAAAGATGGGGGTGGCAGAAGAGACGAGACTGTTAGGTCACAAAAGGAAGTCTAAAATTTCTAAACTTGATAGATTAAAAAAACAGCAATATAAACTAATGAGCAATAAGGAGCAAAACACCAGAAAAAGAAATAAGGGTTTTAAGTAGTTGCTTGAACTGTGAAGATGAGTACAGCAGGGCCTGCTAAGTAATTTTTATTCCATGTGCATGTATCATTTATTCAGAAATAAAATTGAAAAATAAGATCAGGCACAGTAGCTCACGCCTCTGTTCCCAACACCCTGGGAGGCCAAGGCAGGAGGATTGCTTGAGCTCAGGAGTTCAAGATCAGCCTGGGCAACAAAATAAAATAATAAAAGCCACTGCTGCCTCCTAAAGAAGTTCTCAGGCATTTATACAAAAGAGAGCTTCAGGGTATTTACCGAACATTTCCATAACAGAAAAACGGAAAACTTCTGTCCACTGCTGCAGGAATAAATGTGTAACTACATAAATTTATACTATGGGAAACCACATGATACATTAGATCTTTATACATCAACATGGAAAGACTTCAAAAGCAAAGAAAAGCACTATACAGAGACTAGTATGTATGAGGATATTTTCAGAGGAGCTTTTAAAGACCCGAGGTGATACTATACATTGCTTACAGATACATCCACATAGAATACTTTTTAAAAATAAACTATGACAAAGTCTCCTGACACTTATGTGCCTTAGATAAGGCCTATGAACCCCTTCTCAGGATATTTTAAGTGCATAAAACATTTAGGAGTACAAGAAACAACAATAATTTGTATGAGATTTGATACAGTAGTATGTATGCCTATTTACTAGCACATTAAATAACATGACCTAGCTGTGGGTCTAATAACCACTATAATATCAGAATAGTACTGAGTGTAAATGATATTCTAAGATATCTGTAAAAACTAATCTAAAATTATTTCAATTTGTGACAAAGACACAGGCACTACTAAAACTACTATCTTTCTTGCTTAAATTCATAATGCTAAATTTCAGTTAAAAATCTAGTGGAAGTATTTTTTCCCCATCCAAGTTCAGAGAACTGCTGAATTCTACCACAGAGTTTTTGGATTAGAGGTTAAAAAAAAACCTTCAACTAAAAGGGTACACAACAAATAGTCGACAGTAAGGATGTCTGCAAAGAGGAGGCAGCAGTAAAACGGAATGAGGAAGTTACAAAAAGCACTACACCAACTGACACTTCTTCAACAAAATCCATGGAAAATGACAAAACATTAACACCCGTTCATTGTGAACAGGTAGTACATATGTGTAATGCTTTTAAAACCGTAAGATAATTTTGAAAAAATAAATCTGTCCTTAAAAGGCATATACTTAAGCTGGGCATGGTGGCTCACACCTCTAATCCCAGCACTTTGGGAGGCCGAGGCAAGTGGATCATTTGAGGTCAGGAGTTCAAGACCAGCCTGGCCAATACCGTGAAACCCAGTCTCCACTAAAAACATAAAAATTAGCCAGGTGTGGTGGTGGGCACCTGTAATCCTAGCTACTGGGGAGGCTGAGGGACAAGAATCACTTGAACCCAGGAGGCAGAGGTTGCAGTGAGCCAAGATCACACCACTGCACTCCAGCCTGGACAACAGATCGAGATTTCATCTCAACAACAATGAAAACAGAGAGTATACTTAAGTTCAAAATTGGTTTTTTGACCTAAACTATCTCAGGTTCAAAAATCAGAGGGTAACATCAGCAGAGCCCAGACATGGTGGCTCATACCTGTAATCCCAGTACTTTGGGAGACCAAGAGGAAAGGATCACTTGAGATCAGGAGTTCGAGAGCAGTCTGGGTAACACAGTGAGACTCCATGTCTACAAAACAGTTAAAAACTAGCCAGGCATGGAGGTACATGCCTGTAGTCCCAGCTGCTGGGGAAGCTAAGGTGGGAGTATCACTTGGGCCTGGTAGATCAAGGCTGCAGTGAGCTATGACCATGTAATAAACTCCAGCCTAAACTAATAAATATGACATCTGAGATATACTTTAAAGTACTGCAAGAGGGACAGGAGAATTATGAAAAAGATAATTGTTAAAGCTGGGTATATGAGAGTAGATTAAACATATTCAGCTTCTGCGTATGCTTCAAATTTGCTATAATTAACAATACAATAAAATTAAGTGATTGAAGGATTCAAATTATCGTCCATTTATTCTCACCCTTTGCTGCTATGTCTAGTTTTCCTCTCTAATTACTTCCATCCCCATCCCACTCTGACAAAGCCAGGAGCTGTATAATCAACAAAGCAGCTTTTTGAAAATAAATTTGAATACATTAAATGTAGTGATTTCTCAGATAAAAATTAGAATGGTGAAAACACGGACTTCACTGATTTTTCTTGTTAAATGAGTTCAGTATCTATAAACAAGTTTCCAACTTCAGAGAAACAGGAATTGTTTTCATATCTTTACACTTTTAATCCTCCTTTGATTTTGTAGGTTCCTCAGGATTCTATGGTGTGATTCTCACAAAAGAGTAAAAGCACAAAAAATGCAAATACTATAGAAACTTTCACTGAAACGTCCTTAATCTTAATCACCTGCTACCAAATTGCTACTTATTTTTCTCTTACAAAATAAGAAAAGAAACCCAAGTACTTGAGTCTATTATATTTCCCAAAATACACTTTATAAGCAAATTACATTTCTCACGATCACGGAAATTTCATGGTAGGAAGTTTTCTTACCCAGGCCCCTGGCTGCAATGTCAGTAGCAAAGAGCACCGCAGCTCTCTTACGGACAAACTCGTTGTAGACTTCCATTCTTCTCATCTGCTGCTGTCGGCCATGGAGGGCAAGGATAGAAACACCAGGACGTAGCCGGCAAAACACTCCGTACAGATACTGGACCTGGGGCATTAACAGAAGAAGAGGGTTGCTTACGGCAGATGGCAGCAATAAAGCTAAGAAGATGAACAGCAAAAATGTATTAAGCAGCATGAATTTTACCAATTAGAAAAAAGTTTAAATATAGAGCAGAGAAAGGAAATGTAGTCTGGAGTTGTGGTCTTCAAGGGCTTTTGTTCACATATTTCCTTTGATTTTTAAAAAATGTTCTTCTTGTATTTTTATGTTGATATCTGAACTCTTTCAAAATTTCAACAGTAGCAAAGAATATCATTTCTGATAAATACTGATGTTTTAAAATAAACGCTCATCTCTTATGAATGTATCCCCCAGATTCTAAACAGCACAGCAATGTGATACCCAATTCCAACCACATAAAAAATGTGAAGAAACTCTTCTTTAATCATAAGAAATTTAATTTCCTTCCCTACTTTAATTCACATTTCTATTTCCTAATGTCACAAAATTGCATTTTAAGTTGAAGCCTGAAAGCCTCTTATCAATCATGTTATTATAACTCATTTTCTACAAAAGAAAAAACTTAATTTCCTGTGGCCATAGGCCGACTGAACTTTCCTCTCAGGCTCGGCAATTATTACAGTAATTAGTGGTACAGAACTGATCAAACCTAGAAAAATGTTGGCATTTGACTTAAAAAACTGTTAAACATAAATAAAAACACTGTAAATATATCTCAATGTGTGGGACAATATGAAGCTAATTGTTTTGGTTCTCTTTGTGTTCCCATAAATGGATACTATGGATTGCTAGACTGAAAAGAGTTCAGCATGTTCTCTAACATGGGTGTTAAGAAAATCTGTTTACAGAAACAAAACAAACTCGATAGTTTAATTCTGAGCTCCTACAAAACAGGCCAAAACTCATAGCAGATTATTCCAAATAATTTTTGGTGACCTATTAGCTCAATGAAAGAGAGAGACCCCATTGAAGTCTCTCTTCAATTTTGCTGAAAGTAAAGAATGGGAAACCAAGTGAACTGCAAAATGACTTGTTACCCAATCACTAGTCATTCACTTTCTCAAATGCAATTTGCTACCGCCGGGGAGGTTCTGATTCTGGGGCAATGTATCTGGCGAGATTAGAGATGGCAGGACTTAGGCCTTTCTTTTGTGAAGATGTAAAAACAGCTTCTACAAGAAAACATCAAATGGCAGATGATGCTGGTACAGCGGAGGGGTCCACACGACCAGGAACGGGACACCACAGAGGCTTCAGCAGAAACAGCACCTGCACCGAAGGCCACTGAGGCAAGGCCAAGCAGTGGATGCCAGTCACCAAGCTGGGCTGTCTGGTCAAGGACATGAAGACCAAGTCCCCGGAGGAGATCTATCTCTTCTCCGGCCCATCAAGGAATCTGAGGTCACTGACATCTTCCTGGGGGCACCTCTCAAGAATGAGGTTTCTAAAATTACATGGTGCAAAAGCAGCCCACACTGGCCAATGCACCAGGTTTAAGGCGTGTTGCCACTGGAGACTACAGAAGCCACACTGATCTGGGTATCAGGTGCTCCAAGGAGGTAGCCACTGCCATTTGAGGGACCATTTTGGCCAAGCTCTCCATTGTCCTTGTGCAGAGAGGCTGCTGGGGGAACAAGATCAGCAAGCCCACCAGCTCTTGCAAGGTGACAGGCCTCTGTGGCTCTGTGCTGATGAGCCTTGTCCTCGCCTCATGAGGCACTGGCATCAACGTGGACCCATGCCCAAAGAGCTGCTGCTGATGGTAGGTATTGACAATTGCTATATCTCAACCAGAGGCTGCACTGCCACCCTGGGCAACTCTGCCAAGGCCACTTTTGATGCCATCTCCAAGACTATAGTTACCTGTCCCTGCCCCAATCTCTAGAAAGAGACCATATTCACCAAGTCTCTCTGGAATTCACTGGCCACACCAGAGGCCGGGCACAGTGACTTAACACCTGTAATCCCAGCACTTTTGGAGGCCAAGGCAGGCAGATAACTTGAGGTCAGGAGTTCAAGACCTGCCTGGCCAACATGTTGAAACCTCATCTCTACTAAAAATACAAAAATTAACTGGGCATGGTGGCGGACACCTATAATCCCAGTTACTCCAGAGGCTGAGGCAGGAGAACTGCCTGAACCTGGGAGGCGCAGGTTGCGGGGAGCCAAGGTCATGCCACTGCACTCTAGCCTGGGAGACAGAGTGAGGCTCTGTCTCGAGAAGAAAACAAAAAAGACCCACAGCAGAGTCTCTGTGCAGCAGATCCAGACTCCAGCTGTGGCTACAACTCAGGGTTTCTATACAAGAAAAGTAAAGTGAAATAAGCCTGTTTAAAAGAAAAAGGGGGGTGGCTACCATGAAAGGGGCAGTGGGGCCAGTGTTCAAGAAGAGTTTATTAACTAAGATACAAACAAAACATTTCAGAAGGTTAGAGAAAGGAGCAACTGGTTTTAAAAAGGGAGTGCCAAAAAGGGACTTTCAGGTATAACATTTGAGCTTAGCCTCAAAAAAAACCAAGTATTTCCCCAGATTTAGGTGAAGGGATGCAGGGAAGGCATTCCAGACAGATCAGCATAAACAAAGGCATAAGGCATGGAAATAAATGGCATACTCATTCCCATATTCTTGGAGGGCAAGGGAGGTATCGGATTGTAAATACCTCTGCTTAGCTTGGCTAACAATTATTCATTCTACCAACATTTACTGAGGGCTACTCCACTTTCAATATTGTTAGCACTTAACATAATACCTAAGAAAAGACACGGTTTCCGCCCTTGTGGAGTATGAAGTCTCAACCACCGATTCCTTTACAAGGACACTGAACATCCCTCTCCACGCCTAGCACTGTACTTCTTGTACAAGACAATAATTCGTCTCATTGGAATTTGCCATTTGAAAACAGACATTCGACATAAGTTCAGAAAGAAAAATAAACGGCCGATACCTCTTTGCAACTGGAAAAAAATACAATGCTCTTCTTCTTCAGATGGCTTCTCAGAAAGGAATACAGCACGCTTGTTTTTTGCTGCAGCTGACAAACGATGTAGTTCTGTTCCAAAGTGGCAGGGGTGCTTGTGGAATTAAGGAGAAGAAGAACATTAAAATACGCCGTGTCGGTAACTGAAATCCAGACCGAACAAGGAAACAAGTTTTAAGAGAGGCACATCTTTCGAGCAAATTTCCTACACACATACACTAAAAAAAGAGTGTCTCTACTGCCCCTTAGGAAATGAATTCAACACATTACAACACATTCAAAACCCCTTGCAAATCAGTGTCCAAAAAAAAGCATGACGTGAACAGTGATCACCTCTAAAAATGCAGGGTCAAGGACTAAGAAGAGGTGCAAGAGAACTTGCTGGGCTGATTAGTATTCTATGTCTTAGAGCTTTAGATTACAGACATATACACATTCATCAAAGTCCACAGTATACTTAAAATCTGCATATTTCATTGTACGTAAATTTTATGCCATAAGAAAATCGGTACAAATATTAAACTATCATAGTAATATGTATGCCAAAGTATTGAGAGGAGAATACAAATATCTGCGATTTACCCTGAAATCTATCAAAAATAAAATGCTTTAATATACAGCGTTAGAGGGGATGGATAAATGCAAGTAAATGGATACTACCATTAGGCAGCTTCTGGGTGTTTGGTATAAGGTATTCATTGTAAAAGTCTTTCAATTTATTGTATGTTTGAAATTTCATTATAAAATGTTGGAAAACATATACATGCATTTACTCTTTGAACTAGTAAACCTACTTTCAGAATTCTATTCCAACACTACTCTGGTTTTAAACACACACACACACACACACACACACACACAGATATATATGGCATTATTTATAAAGCAAAAAATGATGAAAATCAACCCAAATATCCATCAGTTGGGACTTGCAGTATGAACAATTACACATCCACATAAATTAATTATAATGCAACTATAAAAAAGGAATGAAGAATCTATCCATATATTGCTGTGGAGTATGTCTAGGATACATTGTTAAGGAAAGAGGCAAGTGGCAGAATAGTACAGATAGTTTGGTACCATTTATCAGGGGGCTGTACATTTTATATGCACATACATGCCCACCCATGTGTGTCTGTGTTTGTACTAAAGAAAAAAGGAAGAGGGGTCAGGCAAACAAAAACAAGAAGTCAATTGGTTTTAGCTTTGACAAAGTTATGATCCATAAAAGAATTGATAAGCTGGCCTTCATTAAAATTAAATGTTTCTGATTTGTGAAACACACTATCAAAAGAATTAGAAGACAAGCCACAAAATGGGAGAAAAATATTTGCAAAAAACATCTGATGAAGGACTGTTCTCCAAAATATACAAAGAACTCTTAAAATCCAACAATAAAAACAGAAACACCCAATTTTAAAAGGGGGAAGAGAGCCAAAGATCTTAACAGCCACCTCTCCAAAGAGGATATGTAGAAGGAAAACAAGCATATGAAAAGATACTACACCAGCTTGGGCAACATGGTGAAACCCCATCTTCACAAAAAAATACAAAAGTTAGCTGGGCATGGTGGTGTGCACCTACAGTCCCAGCTACCTGGGAGGCTGAAGCAGGAGCATCATATGAGCCCAGGAGTTTAAGGCTGCAGTGAGCCATGATCATGCGCCACATCATAAGACAACAGGGAAAGGTTAATTAAAATAATGTTATGTCACTACACACTTATTAGATGGCCAAACTCCACAACAGTGACAACACCAAATGCAGGCAAGGATGTGGAGCCACAGGAACTCTCCTTCATTGCTGAAGGAAATGTAAAATGATACTGCCATTTTGGAAGACAGTATAGCAGTTTCTTAAAACCAAACATACTTTTAGCACCTGGCGCGACAATCATGTTCCTTGGCATTTACCAAAAAGCGTTGAAAACGTATGTCCACGCAAAGCTCTGCAAAAGGATGTTTACCGAAGCTTTATTCATAATTGCCAGAACTTGACGGCAACCAACACGTCCTTCAGTAAGGGAACGGACAAACTGTGGTACACCCAGACAATGGAATATTATTCAGTGCTAAAATGAAATGGGCTATCACTCCATGAAAAGACATGGAGGGACCTTAAATGCACATTAAGTGAAAGAAGCCAATACGAAAGGCAACATACTGTATGGTTCCAACTACGTGAATTCCAAAAAGACAATGCTATGGAGACAATAAAATGGATCAGTGGCTTTCAGGGGAGATGAATAAATGAACAGGCAGAACACGAAGGATTTTCAGGGAAGTGAAGATACCGTGAAATACTGTAACAGTAGATACGTGTTATCATAAATCTGTCCAAATCAATGGGATGGACCACACCGAGAGTGAGCCCTACTGTAAATTACAGACTTTGGATGATAAGGATACATCACTGTAGGTTCATCCATTGCAGCAAATGCACCATTCTAGCGAGAGTGCTGATCATGGCAGAGGCTGCATGGAGACAGCAGGTATATGGCAGATCTCTGTACCTTCCTCTCAATTTCGAGCTTAGCCTACTGCTCTAAAAAAAGTCTTTAAAAAAGAAACAGGCCATATTATAGGGAATTATGGGAAACAGAATGAAGCTTTACAAAAGAGCAAAATGAAACAAATAAGCCCAAATATATATCAAGTTGATGACTCAACAACAAATGAATCATTTCAAAGGAAATGCCTCTGAAGAAACTTGATTGTTACGTCTTTACTGGGATATCTAAGGAAGAAAAAGAAATGCAAAGGAATCTTAAACTTTTATAAATAATCATACTGTCAGTAATAATACTGGCATCGTGCTGAAACTACTTTAGATACACTGACTGACAAATGAAACAAAAGTCTTTAGAAATGACTGTTTGGCATAAGAGAAAAGAGATATATATTTTTTGAATGAGGCTTAATAAAAACCTTGTAATCCTAAATTTGATTTGTAATTATCAGCATGAACTCTTTTAAAAAGGCCTGTCCACTGTGAAGCTTAACACAATGACCACGCCCATTAGCACTGAGACTATGATCTTTATATACCAGATCTTGCCAGAAGGATTTTATAAGAACTGGAAATACTTAAGATAAATTTAGAACACCAGAAAGCAAGGAGTCCACCAAAGATTACTAAAACGTATCTAAAGAATCCAGATAATAACTTGAAGCATCTACTAGCCAAGTTTGGGATGACACAAGATGAATATTAAATACAAAAATTTCTATTGATTCAAGGACATAAAAAGATGTTTAAATCTATGGGTTAAATATCATTAATTCATTATTAATTATCATTAAATCTGAGTTCATTTTAAGTACACACAACCGCTGTCCCTCACCAAAAAGCAAACACTGCTAACCTTCAGAAAATACTAGGGAACCAACTCCTTGGTGTTAAAGCAGATACAGAGAGGGAAATGCTTTCTGGAAGCTGAGGCAGGAGGATCATTTGAGCCCAAGAGGTCAAGGCTACAGCGAGCTATAATTACCCTACTGCACTCCAGCCTGGGTGACAGCAAGACCCTGTCTCAAAAAAATAAATATTCCTGGAAGAACTGTACCTCAAATAATCACACAGTTCACGTGAAAGCTGTTTGATATAAAAGTATGTAAACTAATGAAATAATAGAATTAAAATTTCACAGTTTTACAAATCCTAGTGAAATAATAGAGCTAGGCAATAATTTCCACCAGCTGCTAAAATTACAAGGTTAAGAAGCTGCTTGTATTAGACTAACTAGCAACTATAAAAGCAGGAATAAATGCAAAACCAAACAAAAAGACTGATAGCATCCGAGAGCCACCAAGGCAGGTAGGACTTGAGGTGATAAAGGCGAAAATGGAAACGTCCTGAGCCAAGTCCTCTGTTAACCTCACTTTCTTCCCCAAAAGCATTTGCTGATTTCAAGGCAGGAGAGAAACAAGGTAGCAGCCTTAAGCCCAAACATGTCAGTCCCAGGTCCCAGAGAGAAGGAAAACTGAATCATAAATTTTTCAGTTTGCCCTTGAGGAGCACGCCTACCCCTAAACTGAGCACACACAAGGCAAAATGAAGAAAAACAAGCAAAAGCAACCAAATGGGAAGCTAAATAAGCAGAGATTCTGGCAGGGTCACAAAGCCACAGGTTTCAGAGCTTGCCAAGACAGAGGGGCCTTGGTAGATACCTGTCTTTTGGCTGAGACCCTGAGAAGGGCTATCTCATCTGTGAAGGTTATACCCCAAGACTCAGGACAAACCAGAAATAGGATAGCCCAAGTCTAATTGCCAGGCTAGACCAGTTCAAGACAACCTGAACTTAAGACATCTGCCTGCCAGAAAAAAAGAAAAAATTACCTTCAAAGAAACAAGACAACTGTCAGATGACTTTAACAGAAATAATGGAGCCTGGAGTACAACAGAAAGATATCTTTGAAGAGTTCAAAATTAAAAAAACACTGCCAAGATAGGCTACCAAAAAAAAAAAATGAAGATGAAATAGAGGTTTACAGAAAGGTCAAACACTGTTTCACTAACAAGTATGCACTAAAAGGAAATTATATGAGCAAAAGAAAAATCCTCAGGTAGAAGCATAACAATACAAGAACTGGGTAAGTCCAAACAATCCGTGATAATAGTGACTTCCGGGGCTTAAGATGCATGTGACATTAAAATTCCTAACGAGGAAGACACAAAGGTAGGAAAAAGTAAAGGAACCTAAATAATAATTAGGTAAATTCAATGTCACAAGCAATTATATCAGATTAAAAATACACAACTCACAAAGACAGATCTAAAAACATAGGGTATAAACAATGTAGACAGTAAAAGGATGGGAAAGAATTCACCTTCAAACACTAACCGAAACAAAGTTGCTATAGGTAGACTAATATCAAACCAGACTTCCAGTTGGCCAGGGCGGTGGCTCAAGCCTGTAATCCCAGCACTGTGGGAGGTCAAGGCAGATGGATCACCTGAGGTCAGTAGTTCGAAACCAGCCTGGCCAACAGGGTGAAACCTCAACTCTATTAAAAAGACAAAAATTAGGTGGGCATGGTGGCAGGCGCCTGTAATCCCAGCTGCTCGGGAGCTGAGGCAGGAAAATTGCTTGAACCCAGGAGGCAGAGAGTGCAGTGACCCGAGATCGTGCCACTGCACTCCACCCTAGGTAACAAAGCGAGACTCCATCTCCAAAAGAAAAAAACTACACTTAATGGCAAAAAGTATCAGTAAAGATAAAAAGAAACATTTTATAAAATAAAACACACTGGGAGTAGAGAAGTGTTTTGCTACCCATATAACAAATAAAGAACTAATTCCTCTAAAGGGCTTCTCCAAGCCAATAAGAAGGTGGCAGAAAAACAAATCCAAAAAAGACACTGTCCACAGAAAACAAAAAAGAAACATTTCATAATGATTAATGTTTCAAATTTACAATGCAATACTAAATAACATAATAAACGTAAGCTCGTAATATATCTCAAATTTGAAATGTTTCATAATCCACCATAGAATTCAACTTGTCACCGAAAAACAGCAAACTGCTATGGCCCAAAGGCATATTCTCCCAAAAATAAAACCATTAGAAATACCAGTTGTGCATATAAAACCACCAAATGCAAACACTAGTGCACTGTTTCTAAGTATGCTCTGACTTGCAACTACGGAAAGATCTAATTTTTCTTTAGTTGTTGGGTCCTTCGCAATTTGAGAGTAGATACTCTCCAACACTTTAAAATACTTTTGATTATAATCTCTCAGGATGGATGAATCACACTGATAAGCTGCTAAAGGGGAAAAGCTAATAGTGACAGTGGATGAAATTCCTAACAGCTCTGCTTTTTTATGTTTCCCATAAATCTGAACCACTAGAGCACTGCAGCCATTATCATATAACCTGAGCTTTTATAAATTACATCAGTACATGTCTGCCTTCCAGAATTTTTCCTGAAAATTTTGTTCACCACATTTTTACAAAGTGATGGGACTGGCTTTCAAAAATCATGTGTGAAATGATATCAAAATCTTTTTAGTTTTTTTCTAAAACTTTATGATTTACCGAAAATAACCAACTCTTATCTACAGAAATTGGGTATAGGAAATAGGTACAAATTAACTTGCAAACATTATGAAAGGTCGTAGAGACATCGAATGTTTGAAAAATTTCTCCAATGAATATTAAAAATAGGCAGGAGGGAAATAGCAAAAAAGAAAAGTTAAAAATCCTAGACATATAGTCTTTAAATTTTCAAGTTAATTGTCACAAAAAATTTAACAGCTATTTCAACGCTTTAAGAGCTCAACATCTACTAGACAGTAAGCCAAGGAAAAAAATTATACCTCAAATATCTCTTACTTTTCCATTCCCAAGTTCTTGAAAGTCAAAGATACCAGTACTCAGATTCCCCGAGATCACCTAGAAGCAAAGAATCGGCCTCCCTCTTCTCAGGCTTTTTAAATCCTAGACTTCTATTATGCAAGGTCAAGATGGGCCTAAATACTCATATTTTCTCTATTTAAGGAATTTTCAGATAACACAATTCATTTTTCAAATCTATTCCTTTTTAGAACATTTCAGAGCAGGAGGAAATAAGTATTTTAAGTATAAATAATAGTAGAGTTGAATTTACATTGTTATCTTCAACAAAGAATCCAATTTATATTCACTGGAAAACATTCCTCCTGAAAGCCTGCAGTGATGCATACCAAATATATATGCTGCCAATTGTCACATAAAAGTACAACTTAAAACATATTCCAGCTGGGCACAGTGGCTTATGCCCAACACTTTGGGAGGTCAAAGTGGGAAGACTGTTTGAACTCAGGAATTTGAAACCTGAGTTCAGGAATTTGAAACCAGCCTTGGCAATGTAGTGAGACTTCCAACTTTATGAAAAATTTTTAAATTAGCCAGGCATGGTGGTATGCCCCTGCTGTCCAGCTACTCAGGAAGCTGAAACAGGAGAATCGTTTGAACCAAGGAGGTCAAGGCTGCTGTGAGCACAGCTGCCCTCCAGCCGGGGCAACAGAGCAACATCACATCTCTAAATCAATCAATCAATCTCCAACTACTTGCATATGACAAACACACAGACTTTTACTGTAATACACTACTTTATTCTCTAATTTTTGGTAAGACCAAGACAGATAACAGTTGCTAGAATAATTTTAGACAGAAAGGTATTTTGCTAAATATTAATGCATTTGATAAAATGTGTTCCATAACACATTAGTACTGTATAATCCTGCTAAAAAGGGTAATTCTGTACCCAAATAATTTTGGTAAATGTGGGAAGCTACATCCACCTCCCACGGCTTTGAACAATCACAATGTCCATGGAAAGATTAAAGATCCTGAGAAATAGAAAAAAAACTGCTCACCTTGACTCACCATTTGCTATCTGATCCCTTCTCCCTTTGTTTATGGAGAGGCAGTGTTGGTAAACGGTAAAACACCTGTTCACATGTTAGGGAAAAACATTGGTTCCCCCCTCAGAGCACATTTTGGGAAATGCTACATTCAAGTACTCTGACATTTAAAGATACATCCAGAATTCGAGGAATTTTAACTGGTATATTTACTACGCTTTGCATAATGAATAACACATAAAATGCCTTAATTCCTGGAAAACATATTTTAAATATTAAATCCCTAAACTAAAAAAGAAAACAATATTTATCCTGATTGAATCAAAGAGAACCTACCTGTATTTTGCTTTTTCGTGAACCCAGACATACTCAGGGTTTTTCAAACTCAAACGTGCAAGGTCCTTCACAGATTTAGTTTGTGTTGCTGAGAAAAGTAAAGTCTGCCGTTTCTTGGGGAGATTTTCAATAATAGCATTCATGGTATCAGCAAAGCCCATATCCAAGATTCTATCTGCTTCATCGAGAACTAAAAAAGGAAAATCCAAGTTGAACTATAATATCTAAGACATATATTAGGCTAAATGCAATGTGATATCCTGGATTGGATCCTAGAACAGAAAAAGACCATTAGCAGAAAAACTGGTAAAACCTGAATAAAGTCTGGAATTTATATGATCTAGCATATAAACCTTAGTTTTGATAAAGGTACCATGTCATGTAAGACATTAACATTAGGAGAAACCAGGTGAAGGATATACAGGAACTCTCTACTGCAACTTCCCTGTAAATCAAAAACCTCAAAGTTGATCTAAAAATACACATTAGGTAGTATTACCAAGCAAAAAGAAAAAGTTCATTAAAAAAATACTAATTTGACTTTTCACGTTATTAGAAGCAGGTGTTAAAAATTACGGCACAGGAGCCAGGCTTGATGGCTCATGCCTATAATCCCAGCACTCTGGGAGGCCAGGGTGGGCAGATCACCTGAGGTTAGGAGTTCGAGACCAGTCTGATCAACATGGAGAAACCCCATCTCTACTAATAATACAAAAATTAGCGGGACATCATGGCACATGCCTGTAATCCCAGCTACTTGGGAGGCTGAGGCAGGAGAATCACTTGAACTTAGGAGGTGGAGGTTACAGTGAGCCAAGATCATGCCACTGTACTCCAGCCTGGGCAACAAGAGAAACTCCATCTCAATCAACAAAAAATAATCTTGACATGGTCTAATTTGGTAATGTGCCTAATTTCATATGTTAAGGGTACATATACTCCTCTGATTTTTTTTAAGTCTACTTTTACTTTCTGGGTTTAGACCCCAAATGCCAAAAAGTTTCAGTAATTTTTAAGTTTGTTTTGAATCATAACATTTATCCAACAAAAAATTTCCATCAGTAAAATTTACTTCTCTCCTCAATCTGAGCTTTTTTTTTTATTAGAAGCTTATTTGACTCACCTAACATCTGGAGATCAGTAGCATGAAAAGACACTGTTTCATCCATGTGTTGAAGAAGCCGACCTGGTGTGCACACAAGTATATTTATGTTGTTGATCCTCTCAGCTTCGTGTTTCAGATCCTGAAAACAGTTATTTTGATTACACAGACACATCACTCTCAGCAGCCAGTGTACCAAAACTATAAAAGCCATCTGCATGTGGCATTTCATCACAGCAGTTTAGATACTCTGGGAAATAAACACTACTCTTCCCTTGTATTTCTGCAGCATATCCACATTTCTGGGCTAAATAAAACTGTTTAAGGGAAGACATAAGGAGATCAGAGTTCTTCTAAACTCTTATTCATAGACTTTGAAGCCAAGAAAAAAAATAATCAAATGAATACTCCAAGTCAGGATTTCCTGTTTGGATCAGAACTGATATAAACTGGAATTACTCTCACTTTTTAATTCAGGACCTAGGGACATTGAACAGACTCTGACGCCACTCAAGGACTGTACTTTGTGAACTGAAAAAAGAAAAAAAAGAGCCGAGTTCTCTACATTTAGAGGTTCTATCCTTGATACAAGAACCACTTCTCACAGGCCCGGAGGCTAGGAGAGAAAACAGAATATTGTTAATTATTAAAGTTGGGCGACAGGTACATGAGGGTTTGTGATGCTATTTTTTCTTCTTTTGTGCATGTCTGCATAGAAATTGAAGTATTTATCCTCATGGTCAAGAGATTCTAGTAGATTCAGGCATTCCAGATGTGCTATAAGATAGAGCAAAAGTGAGCAGCAAGTCTCATCTTGACCCTCCTATAAACATTCCTCCAAACACTCTACCTTCCTTCCTTCTGCTGCTGATGCACCAATGCTCTGAATTATTCACCCTTAGATAGACACTTTATTAAAAGGTACTAGTTCATATACAGAAATATCTTTCCCAATGGATATCAACAAACAGCTTTACAGGATTAGAGTAAGTATGTCTTAGAGAAACTAATCAATTCAGATTTCCTGACCAAAAAAATGGACTTTCTGGGCCTGTAAAATTGGCAACCAGATCAGCCATGACAGTGACCACACCAAAGTATTTTTCCATGACGCCCTGGTCTAGGAGGTCAGTCTGTTTAGATAAAGTCTCTGCCGCCTCCCTGTCAACTGCCACGGTACTCCAGTATAGGTTACAGAAAGGAAGGACACAGACAAAAGGACAAACCTTTCCACCAATGATGAGACCAGCTGAAAAGTCATGATTCTTTCCTACTTTTCGGAGAACCTCAAAAGTCTGATAGGCCAGTTCTCTCGTAGGTGATATTATGAGAACCCCCAGCCCATCTGTTGAGGTCCACTGCAGACGATATAAGGCTTCCAGTACCTCAAAAAGACAGCAAATATATGTTCAGTAAGTCATCAGAAGTCAGCTTTTTGACCTGTATCTCAACCTTGCCCCTCCAAATCAAAGGGACCTTCCAAGCAGTAGGCATACCACTCACATTTTATCCAGTCCAAAGCAAGAGATTTTGTTTCTTTTCCATCAGAACCATCCATCCCCAACTCAGAAGGAAGAGAAAGAAATCCCATGGTTCAGCTGTTGCCAGAGCCAGGCCATCAGGAAACTGGCTATCAGTGAAAGGTATGTGCAACCCACAGACCATAACACCGCATTTAAGAATCATGTTTATCATTTTCTAAATAACCACACTAAAATAAACTTTTGACTGGGCACAGTGGCTCATGCCTGTAATCCCAACACTTTGGGAAGCTGAGGCAGGTGCATCACTTGAGGTCAGAAGTTCAAGACCAGCCTGGCCATGATGATACCCCGTATCTACTAAAAATACAAAAATTAGCTGGGTATGGTAGCCCACATCTATAATCCCAGCTACTTGAGAGGCTGAGGCAGAAGAATCACTTGAACCTGGGAGGCAGAGGTTGCAGTGAGCCAAGACCGCACCACTGCACTCCAGCCTGGGCAACACAGCATGACTTCATCTCAAAAAATAGATAAACTTTCACCCATGTAGCTGCTATAGTTATACAGTGACTGAATACTGTAGCTATAGAGAGACATTATTTTTTTTTTAAGGGGAAAAACATACTAGGATTTAAGAGAAAAGTGGTTTTGTAATATTTGGAATAATTAAAATAAGATTTTTCACTTTATAAGAATGAAAAATTAGGAGACCAACATAACAGAGGTGGAAGTGAATGCCTAAGACACTCTACTGTTTTACTGCCGTAAAAGACCAATAGCAATTTCCCAGAAAATTCTCAACACAGGCCTAAAGCTCCTTAAACTGAGGATATTTCAGCTTGAAACTAACCAAGGTGGCGAGCATAAATGCGACTGGCAGGCTCACAAGGGTGAGAGCAGAAACAGTGTCTCCCACCAGTCCTACTGCAGAGCAGGACCATTCTAACCTGCCATGCTGGAGCGCCCCACTTCCATCAAGAATGTAATGACTTGTCAAGGCACAATACTTCATTCATTCATTAAGTTACTGAGTGCCTGCCGTGTACAAGGCACTGTGGTAGGACCAGGGGAATATGGTGAACAAGACACATGTGGCTCCTGTTTGATGAAGCTTGCATTCTAGCCAATCCATCATGAAATCTAACATGAAAACCTCTCTTCATTGAATTTGCATCTGGGCACAGAACGTTATAAAATTGTATAACAGAGAGTCTGACCCAATGATAATGTGATAATGTACTCACTGGAACAAGGAAAGCCAAGGTCTTGCCAGATCCAGTTTTAGCCGCTCCAAGTACATCTCTACCTTGCAAAGCCAATCCAATGGTCTGCTTCTGGATCTCAGTTACCAAACGGTACTGAGCTTCTTGCAAACCTAGCAACATGGAGGGAAGAATTATACTTTAGAAAATCCCCATAGGATAGTGTTAGAGGCTAAGAGAGTTGTGTCCCCCAAAAGTCCTGTGTTGAAGCCCTCAGAACAGGACTGTATTTGGAGAGAGGACCTTTAAAGAGGTGATGAAGTTAGAGCCCCATAGGGTCTGACTCTCATTCAATACAACTGGTGTCTTTATATGAAGAAATCTAAACAAGGAGATACCAAGACTCCACATGCACAGAGGGAAAACCGTGTAAAGAGGAGGCAAGTTACTCTATGATCCAGCTATTCCACTCCTGCGTACAATCCAAAGGATATCTTAATAAAACCAGTACTTTGAAAAGTATTTGTGCTCCCTTGTTAATTGCAGCATTATTCACGGAAGCCAACATATGAAATTAACCTAAGAATCCATGAATACGTACATACAGAAATGTGGTATGTAAGTATACACACACAGTGGAATATGACTCAGTCTTTAAAAAGGAAATCCTGTTATTTGCAACAACATGGATAAACCTAGAGGACATTATGTTAAGTGAAATAAACCAGGCACAGCAATAAAGATACCATGTAATCTCACTTACATGGAGAATCTGAAAAAGCCAAATTCATAGGAGCAGAGGGTAGAATGGTAGTTACCAGAGCTGGGGAAGTAAGGAGAGTGGGAAATGTTCATCAGAGGATACACCATTTCAGTTAGGAGGAAGAAGTGCAGGACATCTACTGCAGGCTGGGCACCGTGGCTCACGCCTGTAACCCCAGCACTTTGGAAGGCAAAGGCAGGCAAATTGCTTATGCTCAGAAGTACAAGACCAGCTTGGGCAACATGGCAAAATCCTATCCCTATAAAAAATGTTTAAAAATTAGCCAAGCACGGTGGTGCGCTCCTGTGATCTCAACCGCTCAGGAGGCTGAGGTGGATCACTTGTGCCCAGAAGGTCAAGGCTGCAGTGAACCAAGATCACACAACTGCACTGCACCCTGGGTGACAGAGGAAGGCCCTATATTCAAAAAAAAAAAGAGAGAGATCTACTGTATATCATGGTGGCTATAATTACAATATACTGAAAAAAAGAAAAATTACTAAGTAGATTTTAAGTGTTCTAGCCACAAAAAGGATGAGGTAATATTAGAACATGTATAAGCTGCCTGATTTAGCCATTCCACGGCATATATATATTTCAAAGCATCATGTCATACACTGTAAATACATACAATTTTTATTTATACAAAAATAAAAAGCAAGAGGGCAGCCATCTGCAAGCCAAGGAGAGAGGCCTGAACAGATCCTTCCCTTACTTTGCCTTAAAAGGAAAGCAAGGCTGCCAGCACCTTGATCCCAGACTCCCACCACCTTCCCGAACTGTGAGAAAAGAAGTCTGTCGTTTAAGCCACCCAGTCTGATATTTTGTTATGTCAGCCCTAGCAAACAGATATAAAGGGTGTCATATCTTGGTTTGTTCCCTTGCTTATTTTAACTAATACAATTAGATTTCATTTTATTTAGAGGCTACTGGAATCTTGTTTTTCTCTTAATCAGTCCTTTCTGGATGAATGAAAATAACAAACTGTTGAAACTTGAATACTGCTTGTTTTCATACCAAAATTTGCTAAAATAAGGTTTTGTTTTTTTTTTTAGGCTAAACTCTCTAAATCTTCTCCCATTTAGCAAAAATACCAAGAAATATATAACACATCCCAAGATCACCATATACCTACCTTTCAATGTTTTTTTGGACAAGGGAAAATCTGAAAACCTTGTAATTTCGTTTACATTTATCTGGAAAAAAAAGAAAAAGGAATCTGGGTAATTCATTTGCTTCACAACACAATTGTTTTTACTCTACATTGTACTGCCTAGCTCATCCCTGGTAAAGCAAGGTTGAATTCAATCATCACTTCTAATTAAAAGCCATCATTCCTTCTGAAAGGAAATATGCCCTCAAGAGGCAGTTCCTGAATCAAATATACGTTTGTAACCATTTCAACTGGTAAGGAAAAAAGTCACCCAGTAACACACACACACCAAGCATATTACTGTCTTCAACCCCCCTGGCCTCCAAAGTGTTGAACACATTAAAGCATCACCAACCACATCAATTTAGGAAGAAAATTTACTTCCAGTCATCCTTTAAGGGATATAAATTTAAGAAATAAGGACAAAATTACAATTCATAAGATCACAATGAAAATAGTTCTATACACACAATTTGGAAAAAAAGCGTGAAATTAGTTGGAGAAATATTTCTGGTTAGCACAATCCATTCAAAGCTTTAACTATAAATCAGTGGCCTGTGAAATCCAATCTGATTTCATTTTGGGGTAGATGAAGGAAGGGTGTTATTTCAAACCAGTCAGGGGAAATGTCTGTCATGCTCTGAAGCCACAGTAAGTAACATTTTGCGCTCTAACTTTACATTATCAAACATTCATTACTGGTGTTCTTCGTTAGCACAAACCCAATTTTCTGAATTTCATCTTAGCCGCTCAGGAGAATTATTTTGTTACAGATGCAGAATGCAGGAAGTACTGCTCAGATCTGGAAATATGCTCCCAAAGTATTCACTATTTGCAAAAAGAAAAAGCTGCATTTGTATGGTTCATTTATTTAAATTACACTCTAGGCAGCAAAGCCATGACAGCTGTATTTTGTTTTACAATTTACACCTTTCCTAGGATTCTTTTTTTTTTTTTAATCTTTGTGTTTTTCTTTTTTTTTTTTCTTCCTAGGATTCTTAACAAAGCCCAGGCAGGATTTACTCTCAAGCAATTCTCCCGCCTCAGCCTCCTGAGTAGCTGGACAGGCACGTGCCACCATGCCCAGCTAATTTTTGAATTTTTAGTAGAGACGGGGTTTCACCATGTTGACCAGGATGGTCTCGATCTCTTGACCTCATGATCCACCCACCTCAGCCTCCCAGTGTTAGGATTATAAGCTTGAGCCACCGCACCCGGCCAGGAAGAATGTTTTTATCATGCATTTGACCAGAAGGAGCTCAGTATAGGATAACTCAACTTCCCCTAATTACACCATCCTCTAACTCCACAGCACTGGGGTACATGTTACCAATTTACTATTATAACATTGTATAGACCCGAATATAACACATTGTATAGATCCTAATATAACATGTGTCAAACTGTCTCAACCCTACATGCCCAGGTTCCCTAGCAACTTGGGCATGTATTTTTTTCCATGTATACTTACACCCACCTAGACAAACCTCCGACAAATTGTTTCAAAAGGTTTTGCAGTTAAATTGTTCAGCATTTCACCAGTGAGGCTACCGAACACCACCTGTGTACCATGGCTATGTTGTAAGTTTATATACAGTGCTACCACCTGAGGAGCCCTTAGTGAGGGCCTGCACTTTGGTTATCTAGAGAATAATAAGCCTGCTATTCAAATGATTATATCCAGCATGGCTAACCTTGACAATCGATTTCACACTGCGTTTGTATCTCAACCAAATCATAAGAAAATACTTCTAAAATTAAAGAAGTAAAACAGAACAGCTTAGCAGGGGGAAAAAGTTGCTCCAATGGGATTTAAATAAATGCAACGTAGTACAGCAGAGCGGTCTGGTGCACTGGTAACAGACTACCTGGGTTACAACGCCTGCTTCACGTCGCAGCTGTTTAACATTACATAAATTATTTAACCTTGCTGTGCCTTAAAGTTACCTCACCTGTGTAACAGGAACCATTTCTTTTTTTTTTTTTTGAGACAGAGTTTTGCTCTTGTTGCCCAGGCTGGAGTGCAATGGCGCGATCTCAGTTCATGGCAACCTCTGCCTCCAAGGTTCAAGTGATTCTCCTGCCTCAGTTTCCCAAGTAGCTGGGATTACAGGCATGCACCACCATGCCCGCCTAATTTTGTATTTTTAGTAGAGATGGGGTTTTTCCATGTTGGTCAGGCCGGTCTCCAACTCCCCGACCTCAGGTGATCCGCCTGCCTCAGCCTCCCAAAGGGCTGGGATTACAGGTGTGAGCCACCGCGCTCGGCCAATTGGAACAATTTCACAGGGTTATTTGTTGTGAGCATATAGAAAGTCCGCATGCATAAAAGTTTGATAAATGTTCACAATTACTATTGAAACAAGAAACGAAAAAAGAATTAGCCAATGCTGCCAACCAGAGCAAAGCCATCTGGGAAAGGTCTAGTCTTACAGCGAAGAACATCTAAACACTGACTGAGCACCCAATCAAGAACAAGCACTGTGCTGCCAGACTCTGGGGAGTGCAAAGATGAATGTATCACTGGTTTGTTACCTTGAATGGCTCATAGTCTAGTAGGAGTTTTTTTTTTTTTAAGTTAAAGAAGCCAGTCATCACAGACAGTCGATAAATGTAATGAAAGTATCTATAAAATGCTACAGATGCCCAGTAGCCCTAACTCAGCCAGGGGAGGTGATGAAGAGACATTTGCACTAAATCTGGAAGGAAGAGGACCTGTCCTTGGAGTGGGCAGATGGGTATGCTCACTGCAAGCAGTGGAAACATTAAGTACCAGAATGAGAAGCACAAGAAGCATGGACAATTCACAAAACTGCAAGCTGTTCCTTCATATACGCCTTTCATGTACCCCTTGTGCATGATCTGTATTTTCTATGCATTATCTCATTTGAGCCTTACAATGCTCTGGGTGGCTAATAACCTCTGTTTTTTGAAAGAAGAAACTGATACTTAGAGGGGTGAAGAAACCTGACTACCCAATACCTGAAGAGAATGAGATTTAAACCAGGTCAGGCTGACCACAAATAACTGAACTCTTCAGTGAACTACAACGTGTTGACACACTGTATTTGACAATTTTTCTAAAAGTAACTGAGCCAAGGAAGGGTTCTAATCAGGAGTAAAATGATTAGATGTTCATCTTGGAAAGAATCATTCTAGCCGAAGGATAGAGGATGAATTAGAAAAGTTTAAGGCCTATAGGCCAAATCCCATCAGCCACCTGTTTTACTAAAGTTTTTCTGAAAAACAACACACATTCATTTAAGTATTTCTATGGCAGCTTTTATATTACAAGCGTGCAATTGAGTAGTTTCACCCTTTTGACCACAAAGCTGAAAACATTCACTACCATTTACAGAGAAAGTTTGCTGACCCCTGTTGAAAGCAGTATTTGCTATAGTAATCCAGGCAAGAGATGATGGGAGGCTGAAGACAATGCGCTGGGGATGAAGAAGAATTTGAAAACTTTAAGGAGCAGAACACATCACAGTGTGACGGACTGGATATAAGAGAAGGTAAGAGAGAAGCACCTAAGACTGCGCCTATGGTCATTCTAGCTCTATGGTCTACTGAGATGGTGGAGCTAAGATGTGGTAGGCTAAAAATGATCCCAAATTATGTCTGTCTATTAACCTCTGGAAGCTATGAATGTTACCTTACACGGCAAAAGTGACTTTTCAGATGTGATTAAATTAAAGATTTTGAGATTGGGTGATTATCCTGGATTATCTGTGTAGGCCTTAAATGCAATCACAAGCATCCTTATAACAGAAGAGGTAGAATGACACAGGAGAAGCCAGAGACTGGAGTTATGTAGCCACAAGCCAAGGAATGCAAGCAGCCACCAGAAGCTACAAATCCAAGAAACAGATTCTCCCCTAGGACCTCTGCAGAGAGATGCCCCTGCAGACACGTTGATTTTGGCCCCAGTGAAACTGATTTCAGATGTGTGGCCTCCAGAAAGTGGCAGAATAAGTCTCTGTTGTTGGGTTTTTTTGTTTTGTTTTGTTTTTGTTTTTTGAGACAGAGTCTCACTCATGTTGACCAGACTGGAATGCAATGGCGCAATCTCGAGTCACTGCAATCTCCACCTCCCAGGTTCAAGTGATTCTCTTGCCTCAGCGCCTGGCTAACTTGTTGGTATTTTTAGTAGAGATGGGGTTTCACCATGTTGGCCAGGCTGGTCTTGAACTCCTGACCTCAAGGTCTCTGTTGTTTTAAGCCACCAAGTTTGTGGTGATCTGTCACAGTGGCAACTTTAGTTCCAAAAATATTCCACCTGTTAAAACTCTGATTGTACTGCACTAGAAGGGGGCTGAGAAGCTGAAGGATGTGGGTGAAGGCCAACAAACATGGGATTTAGGGAAAGGGAAAAGAGGAATGGACAGACTTGTGGAGCCTGGGGTTGGGGGGAGAAGTTAGGTCAAAGTGATGGTTACAGGTATACTCATCTGGGATCACCAGCTACAACATGGGAATGACAGGTGACAGAAAGAGACCAGCGTCCCAGCTTTTCTAGGCCAATTCTTGGATGGAAATATGAAGCCTGTGGAGAAAATGAGGTGGCCACAGGAAGGAGCATAGATGATGTTGAGGCATGCAGTCTGGCCTCATGACTAAAAAAGCAAAGGCTTTGGGATTAGAAAGACATGGATTTAGCTTCCAAATCCACACTACCTACTAAGCGTGAGAGATTCGGGCACTTAAGAGTTTCATTCCTCTTAGAACCTCAATTCTCTCATCTATAAAATGGGATTAATATCCATCCCTCAGATCAAGTCAATTAATGTAAGCACATGGTGAGTGCTTAAAAATGTAGGTGCTATTGCCATTACTGTCATCAGTATTATTACTATGAATATGACTGCAGCCATTATAGCATTAGTCTCCCTACCCTTAGGTACAACTGCATTTCTGTCATTTTTTTCAGGATCAGTGTAGCAAGCAAAAGAGTGGCCAGGACGGTGGAGAGGTTTGAGCTGTGGCACACGGCGTGACCTCCCATTCCCGGCCGGGTACCAGTGACAGGTCCGCCTCCTCCACTCTGCAACCCCTCGCCGCAGTGACACGCTGCCCCGCTGTTGGCCGGCCCGCGCCCCCTCCCCAGCGCCGGCCTCACCTTCTCATAGTTCAGCATGAGGCGGCTGATATCCTCGCGCTCGACCTGCCACTCGGGTTTCTTCAGTTGCTTCCTCAACTGCTTCTTTTTGTTCTGCCTGTGGCTGTGTTTTTTCTTCCAGCGATTGAAGCTCCGCACCGGGTCGGGTCGGGCTTCCGAACCCGGAGAGTCGGCAGTTTTGACCATCACTGCAGCCGAGACAGCTCGGACCGACCCCCAGACGAGAGACACCTAAGGCCGGGATCGCGGAACCAGCATGGGGAAAAACGCACGAAGGCGCATGCGCGAACCCGGAAACCCCGCCCCCGAGCTTTTGAAACCGGGGCACGCGCCAATGACGACAAGGAAAAACAGGGCTGTGATTGGCAGATTCGCTCCTGCAGGGAGGAGCAGTCTCGGGGAAACGGGGACGAGGCGCTCTAAGAAAGAGGGCGCGCTGAGCTGCGCCTGGAGCACGCCAGGCTCTTTAAAAAAGACGCATGCGCATTGTTGTTGTTACTTTGGTGACGTCATACGCTGGCCCTTTAAGGGATATTAACACTTTGGCTCCAGGTTCAACTTTGCGAAGCGTTCGTGAGCGTGTGCGTAGACACATACAATCTGTGAATTAAAATTGTGATCCTCGTTTTGCGTATTTGGGCCCAACGAGCCACAAGATTTGCCCAACAGTAAACAGTTAATGACTTCTGATTTCCATGCACTGAGCTTGTACTTTCTCAGGAATAAAAATAAATATTCTATATTCTTCTTATGCCCCTCTAGGTTTTCCTTTTCCTCTGAGCCCCTCAGACTCTAGCTGCAACAGCAAGGAAACTGGAACGGAATCAAATTGAATTTGCCTTAAAATGCTACTATGGAGACAAAATAAAAGTTAAGAAGTAGATGATAGAGACCGGGCACAGTGGCTCACGCCTATAAACCCATCTCTACTAAAAATACAAAAATTAGCCAGGCGTGGTGGCATGCGCCTATAATCCCAGCTACTCGAGAGGCGGAGGCTGGAGAATCGCTTGAACCCGGAAGGCAGAGGTTGCAGCGAGCCGAGATCGTCTCACTTTACTACAGCCTGGGCGAAAGAGTGAAACTCTATCTCAAAAAAAAAAAAAAGTAGGTAATAGAAAAGTTATTGCTAGTTGGCCATTTAAGTGAAGTGGCTTTCAATGAATTGGGTTTTTTGACACACTTACCTAGCGCCTCCAGGAAAATACTGGATCGTGGTGGGAGAGCTCAGTTGTGGCAAAGGAAAGTGGAAACATGAATTCAAAGTTCACATGCAGAATTTGGGGCCCTCAAATTCCCTTTCCAACCACATACTCAGATCACTATTCTCACCTCTATGTCCATCCTCCAAACAGGTCATGGCTTATTGGAAGGGAGTGAGGACAGTAGGTGAACGAGAATTTCTATACTCAGGGACACTAGATATGGTAGACAGTAAAATTCAATTAGGAGAGATTATATAAAAGCATATATACATCCTCAAAAAATTAAAAATAGAACTCTACATGAGCCAGCAAATTTCACTTCTGGGAATATACAGACAAAAAAATTGAAAGCAGGGTCCCAATTGCACACCATGTTCACCGCAGCACTATTCACAATAGCTAAAAGGTAGAAGCAACCCAGGTGTCTATCCACTGATGAATGAGTAAAGAAAATATACACATAAAATGGAATAGTATTCAGCTTTCATAAAGAAGGAATTTCTGACAGAAGCGCAACATGGATAAACTTTAAGAATATTAAGCTAAGTGAAATAAGCCAGTCACAAAAGGACAAGTACTATATATGGTTCTATTTATGTGAGGTACTTAGGGTTGTCAAAAGGATAGAGAGAAAGTAGAATGGTGGCTGCCAGGGACTCGGGGAGGGGCCAAGGGGGGTTACTGTGTAATCATTGCAGAGTTCCAGTTTGGCAAGATGAGAAGAGTTCTACAGATTGGTTGCACAACAGTGCGAATGTACTTTTTTTTTCTTTTTTTTGAGACGGAGTTTCGCTCTTGTCACCCAGGCTGGAGTGCAATGGCGCCATCTCGGCTCACCGCAACCTCCGCCTCCTGGGTTCAGGCAATTCTCCTGCCTCAGCCTCCCGAGTAGCTGGGATTACAGGCACGCGCCACCATGCCCAGCTAATTTTTTTGTATTTTTAGTAGAGACGGGGTTTCACCATGTTGACCAGGATGGTCTCGATCTGTTGACCTCATGATCCACCCACCTTGGCCTCCCAAAGTGCTGGGATTACAGGCTTGAGCCACCGCGCCCAGCCCAGTGCGAATGTACTTAATGCAACTGAACTGTATACTCAAAAATGGCTAAAATGTTAAACTTTATGTGATGTGTATTTTACCACATGTGTACCGCATATGTATACCTACAGAACAGTAAGGCCCTCGGCTATAACTCACTTTTTCCCTAAAACTGCAGCGTGCTCGCAGGCATATATTCATCCCGGGCAAGAACTGGAAGATTCAACTCTAGGGAAACTGAGTGCCCAGGAGAAAGCTCTCAATATAATGACGTTTAGGGGCGGGCACGGGGGCTCACGCCTATGATCCCAGCACTTTCCAAAGCCAAGGTGAGAGGATTGCTCGAGCCCAGAAGTTTGAGACAAGCCTGGGCAACACAGTGAGACCTTGCCTCTACCAAAACTCAAAAAACTCAGCCGAGCTTCGTGGCACACACCTGTAGTCCCAGCTACTAGAGGGCCGAGGCAAGAAGATCACTTGAGCCTACAGAAGTCAAGGCTGTAGTGAGCCCCGATACTGCCACCGCACTCCAGCCTGGGCGACAGAGCCCCGTGCTCTTTAGGGAAACTTATCCGTTAATAAGCCCTCCATTGACTCTTTTCTAATCAGCCTTATTCTTTTGTTTGATTGTTTGTCTGTTTGTGACAGAGTTTTGTTCGCTGCCCAGGCTGGAGTGCCGTGGTGTGATCTTGGCTCACTGCAACCTCCGCCTCCCGGGTTCAAGCAGTTCTCCTGCCTCAGCCTCCCAAGTCGCTGGGATTACAGGCATGTGTCACCATGCCCAGCCAATTTTTTGTGTTTTTAGTAGAGATGGGGTTTCTCCACGTTGGTCAGGACTCCCAACCTCACGTGATCCGTCTGCCTTGGCCTCCTAAAGTGCTGGGATTACAGGTGTGAGCCACCTCGACTGGCCACCTTATTGTTAAATATGGAAGAGTAACCAAAGACCAACAAACATTTTAGGAAATGTTTTAACTTCACAAATTAATGCAGAGAGCAAAATAAGCCTTCAAAAAATCATTATTAATATTCTTAGAAAGATAAGGCCTCGCTCATGCCTGTAATCCCAGCACTTTGGGAGGCCGAGGCGGGTGGATCACGAGATCAAGAGATCAAGACCATCCTGGTCAACATAGTGAAACCCCGTCTCTACTAAAAATACAAAAAATTAGCTGGGCATGGTGGCACGTGCCTGTAATCCCCACTGCTCAGGAGGCTGAGGCAGGAGAATTGCCTGAACCCAGGAGGAGGAGGTTGCGGTGAGCCAAGATCGCACCATTACACTCCAGCCTGGGTAACAAGAGTGAAATTCAATCTCAAAAAAAGAAAGAAAAAAAGATAAGGCCTCATACCCAAGAAATAAGAACAGAGAATACTCAGAGAACAAAAAAGAATTCCTCATAGAAGTCATTTTGTTTGTTATAGAAATCAAATTGTTAACATAAAAGAGTGGAAAATTCAAATTTTAGTCACAAGAAGTCAGTATCACATTCCAAAGTCATTAGGATTTAATAATTTGTAATGAAAATAGATCATATATTTATCACTTAAAATGACAGCTTCATGATGATTTCAATGCTTAGTTGCTCTAATACCTTGTTTTCTATAGAAATGACCCCTAGATAGGCTTCCAATTGTAATATTGAGGACATTAAATATGTTTTAACATGTTTTAAGATTCTATATTCTCCACCACCAACCAATATTCACAAAGATCCTAAAGAACTAAAAAGAAAAAAAATTGGAAATGTGCCTGGTAACTACTGCTATTTAGACAAATAGAGGCAATATTCCCGTAGTGGAAGGAGGGTCCATTCTAAAATTTAGGGAAGAAAATATAATATTTGGCTGGGCATGGTGGCTCGTGCCTGTATTCCCAGCACTTGAGGTCAAGGCGGGTGGATCACCCAGGAGTTCAAGACCAGCCTAGCCAACATGGTGAAACCCTGTCTCTACTAAAAATACAAAAATTAGCCAGGCATGGTGGCATGCACCCATAATCCCAGCTACTTGGGAGGCTGAGGCTGGAGAATCGCTTGAACCCATGAGGCAGAGGTTGCAGTGAGCCGAGATCACACAATTGCACTCCAGCCTGGTTGACAAGAGGGAGACTCCATCTAAAAAAAAAAAAAAATAGGAACACTTGTAGTTCATCCTACATTGATACCCTATCTAATATCTAATATTATCCATCACTTAGATTACATCTGTAAGTTTACAACAGTTTATCATCGTAATTATTCAAATTGCATGTCTCAAAAACTCTGAAAAGATCATTACAATCTTTCAGTATTTAAAAACGTGTTTTGAAAGATTTTCTGGTCCAGCAAGATAATAATGGTAGTGATGAGCACAACCATTGCCCAGATCTCAGTTTGTAAAGACCATTTTTTCTAATCAAATGAGTCAGAGTTCTCTGAAGAAATAGCTAATTCCAGGCTTACACAAAGAAAGAACAAGGTAAGCTGGAATATCTTGAAGTGCCAGAAAAAAAAGAAGTGCTCAAAGAATTATGGGAATGGATGGGACAGTTCTATTTCTTGACCTAGATGACAGCTATGAGGATATTTGCCTAATAATACTTCAGTAGACTCTACAGTCATTTTATGTAGCTTTCTATAGTGTAAAAAAAAGAATATATGTTACCCCAAAATATGCCTCTTTGATAAAACATTATTTTTTAGCTAAAGACAATTAAGAAGCAGCAAACATGGGAAGAGCTCTTCCTATCCTCCCACTTTTTTTTTGCTTAAACAGAGGATATAAATTACCTTTTACTGGAAACAATTCTAATTGTCATAACAGCCCAGAGACAGCATGGGAGGAATCTGCAGACTAATCTTACTCCATTAGTTTCCTCACATACATTCACCTTCCACGGTTTCCCACATTTGGAAGGCCAAAACCGGTTCCCGTTTTTCCTGTCACTGCTCTACAAGTGTATTGTCCTTTGTTGAAGATGCTATATCAGCCAGAGTTCCCAGCCACTACTTTGAGTTACTTTCCATTAAAGTTACTCCCACGCGCCGAGCACTGCACACATCACTAACCTTGTTCGTTTTGT